GCCGGGGACGCCCCGCCTTCTCACTGGGCGGGGCGAGGCGAGCGGCCGCCGGCGGAAGGAGGAGGGGTGCCGTGGCTCCGGTCAGTCCTTTCGCCCGCACGAACGTGCCGCCCGGAACGGCTCTCGCAGGCCTCGCGCTGCCCCGCAGGGGGAAGGGAAAAACCGGATGGGTGTGCGGGACGCAGCAGGCTCTCCCTGCGCCGGAGCCCCCGGACCGAGCGCGGACTCCGCAGTCTGCGTCCGGGCCGGGGAGCTGTCCGCCCGGTGGTTCTGAACCAGGCGCTGCGGCGGGCCCGAGGGTCGCAGTTCCCGTGGTCACAGCCGCCGCGCCGCATGCTTCTATAAACACAAGGGCTGTCTGGCTTCCGGGAGTCTTGCTGTAATTAGGGGCTGGCCTCGCAGGTCCATTTCTGGGGTCAGTTGCTAAGTCAGTCTCGTTTCAATACCACTGTAATTTGAAGGTGGCAGCATCTGGAGTTAGGTGGATAGTCATTCCTCATCGTCTTGGACCTTTGACATCTTTTATATTCAAAATGTTTATTACCTCCCATACATTGATTACTCTAACACCATTCTTTCAACATCTTCACTCATACATTTGACACACTCGTCTATTAAAATACAGCACAATCACCCGGGCTTCAGTGCTCCAATAAACAATAGAACAGAAAGGTTCCATCTGCCCCTCTTCCTTGGTCTGGAGTGTGTGGCGGTCATCCTGTGGATGGCGATGCGTATGATCAATCTGTCTTGTCTTCTTACTCCCCTCTCCCTCCCACAAATTGTACAATAAGTCACATTGATGGGAATTGGGCCATAAAATCACTTTCACTCTGAGATAAAATAAATCCACGGAGATGTAAAGGGCTTACGAATCCTACTCAGTATTAACTAAATAATAATTACACAAAACCGAAAGGCATGTTGCTATTTCTAAGCTTGCATAAAAAGATGTTGGGACCATTCTGCCACCAATTGAGGTCAATTCTGTCAGTAGGCAGGCAGCTTCTGCTCCTGCCTTCTCCTCACCAGCCCTTGTGTTTCCTCCTCCTAAACCAGGGCCACTGTACAGGCATGAATTCATGATAATCACTGAAAGACAATATATAAAAAGGAAGGGATTCACATAACATTGCTTGCTATGTGAATTGGCTGATAAGTGAGAAGTTGTTGGCAAAGCATTTCAACTCCCTTGGAAGGACTATGCCAAAGAAAAGAACTGGTTTCCAGCATATCTATATAATATGCTAACCAGCCAAAGATTTTGAAATCTGATACAGATCATCAGACTTACCACAAACGGTCATAGTGAAGCACAGATTGAGGATTCAAGGAGCAAAATAAGACTCCAGAGCTCAAGTACAAATTCTGCAGTTAGGAATTGTGTAAGACTCCTGTAAGATTTCAAGTTATCTATTAAAAATAATTGAATGGGATCCAGAGGAGTAGAATTTATAGGAAAGAATTCCTTCTTCTCTTCTCCAGGTAGCAAATGAAAAAGTAAGCAGCTAAGGCGAGTGTGTGTTTTAAAAACAATGGATTCTTTGCTACCCATAGAAGTACAAAATAGAGCAATAACAGTTACAAGGATGGACACAGTCTTCCATTGTCCATAATTTGCATTTGTACGGGGCTAATCTGAAGGAAAAGTGGGGCCTTTGTGCTTCCTAGGCTCACAAGTGCTTGGAGCTCACACAGCATGCCACATTGGGAAGAGGATTATATGGTCACAAAAGAAACAGACTGGGTAATCAAATTATTACCCCAAAGCCTGTCAAATAAAAATTAGATGACTGTTTCAGGTTAGAATCAAACGTTCAGCATGTTACTTTGTTTAAGCAAGTGTTTTCCACCAAGACAAGTAAAAATATTCCAACCTTTAGAGACAGGTGGCTGCCTCTTACAGTGGAGAGAGGGGAAAAGGAAGAAAACAATTGGAAAACAAAACCAAAAAATCTCCTATCTGCCTGGCAACCCCCTACTTGATGCTGCCATTGTGATTCTACGTCATCAAATTTTATAAGTAACGTTATCTGTGAGGATAATTATGGAACCAATATTACACTGAGATCTTTTAATTTTTAGTCATTTAAAGATAGCTCCCAAATAATATAACTTTGTAATATAATTAAATAATTTTATATTAATGTTGAGCTTTTTTTTATAGTCTTCCCAAAGAGCTCTAGGTGGTAAAAGCAATCCATTGGCATAGTAGATTCCTTAGGTTTTGTTAAACCAGGGGTTCGTGCTTTTCTGTAACTGGGACTAATAGCTCTATTTCATTGAGTCTGGGCCTCCTTCCATGGTACAGTACGCCATTGTTTTATGTATCACTAAGAAGGAAAAAATGCTACCATTTAAACTATGTACATCGTTTTCACTAAGAATGTTAATTTAAACGTTTTGAAAAAGCTCTTTGATAATTACTTAGACAGATTTTTATCATATATCATTCTAATGCATACATAAAAATATAAGTTAAAATAATTGGTTAACATTTTCCTAAAACTTCACATTCAGAATCTCACTATTGTTATTTACTTTCTAACAGAGTTTTCAATGCCCAGGTTTTTCCCTCAACATGTTCCTCAGAGCCTCTGTCATGCAAGTGCTCTGAGGTCATCCAAGTTGGTGACCATCCACTCAGCATGGCTTGATGCTGGTGGGTTTTTTTGTGTTTGTGTTACCTTATCCAGAGTTTGCACACAATAACCAGATTTATTTTCCTTCTTCAGACGGTCATCAAAAGGCCTGTGGCCTGAAGTGCTGAGGGGTATAGATGGCCAGGCATGCCCTAGGAATAGTAACCAAGTTGGCATAGCCTTATGCTACGGTAACTTCGTAGGGACTCCCACCTGCTCAGCACCAACTATAAGATGGTCCTGGGGCCAGCCCCATGGCTTAGCAGTTAAGTGCGCACGCTCCGCTGCTGGTGGCCCGGGTTCGGATCCCGGGCGCGTACCGACTCACTGCTTCTCCGGCCATGCTGAGGCCGCGTCCCACATATAGCAACTAGAAAGACGTGCAGCTATGACATACAACTATCTACTAGGGCTTTGGGGGGAAAAATAAATAAATAAATAAATAAATAATTTTAAAAAATTAAAAAAAAATAAAGGATGGTCCTGGTGCTGGAGATGTGAAATGTGAAAGAAAAAAAACCAGGTATCTTAGAATCAATAAAGATGGTATGTTTTTTCCTTTTGGAACTTTTACAATTTTTGATTTTGCAAATGGCCAAGCTGCTGCAGGGAACAAAAATGAATGAAAGTTCTCAGGTGGTAGAGACCGCCCTAGCCAGCCCTTGACTACACAGGCCAAGTCAGGCTTGGGGAGTCTATGTGTTTCTGGGTCACTACGGATGGAGGAGACAGAGGTGGAGTCAGGGCAGCTGCTGATTCTCCCCACATTGCCTTCCTCACCCAAAAGGAGGGGGCTGGAGCCAAGGATAAGCTCCTGGAACTGAGAGGGGGAGGAGAGAAGAAAGAGCCACAGCCGCTGAACCCTGGCCAACATGTGGGGAAGGGGGTTGGAGGCAAATGTGCATCGCACAGTGTGACGTTTGGGGTCATATCTGACATAGGGACTTAAGGATCCAACTTGGCTCAAAATGATTTTATGTGATGAATTTATCTAGGACCCAACCCATAGAGACAGAGAGAAAATGAAATAGGGCAATGATATAGGAAACTCCTGGGGAAAATCCCTCTTTTGGGGATTGAGATACCCTGACATTTCCATTGATTGATTGATTCATTCTTTCATTCACTAATTCAACAAATATGTATTGAGTTCCTATTATGTGCCAAGCCTTCTTCTAGGCACTGAGAGTAAATCAGAAAAAAACAAACATCCTGTTTTTATAGCACTTAGATTCAAGTAGAGGAGAAGAGATAAAATAAACAAATACATATGTAATATGCCAGTTGACAAGGGGTAAAAAGTAGATGGACAGAGATTATGGTGGTCGTGATCGTGGTGGTTGTGATGGTAGTGGTGACAGTGGTGGTGTTGGTGGGGTATGTGTGTGTGTCTGTGGCCGGAAGAAGTTACTCTAATAAGATGACATTTCGGCAGATCCGTGAATGGATTGAGGGAGGAAGCCAAGGGCATTGAAGAAGAGGAAACAAGTGAAAGCCCCCTGAGGCAGGCACACAGGAGCTGTCCTCAATAAACACTAAGGGGGCTGGTGCAGCTGAGGCAGAGAGAGCTGAGTGAAGTGGTAGGAGATGGAATTGGAGAGGAAGTTGGGTGTTAAATCTTATAAGACTGGATTTTATTTTGAGTGAAACGGGGAGCCACGGGAGAGCTTAGAGCAGAGAAGTCACAAGATCTGACTTGTATTTTAAACAGATCTCTAGCTCCCGAGTGGAAAATAAACTGGAGCAGAGCAAAGATGGAATCAGGAAGACCGCTTAGGATACTATTGCAATAGTCCAGGCCATAGAAGAGGGTGTTTTGGACCAGAGTAGTAGTGAGGGAGATGATGAGAACTGGTCAGATTTAGAATGTATTTTGAAGGTAGAACCCACAGCTTTT